AACCAAAATGTGTTAAGGCGATCCATTGGAATCACAAAATTTCAAGCAAACTCGTTGTTAACTTTTTTTCCAAGGCAAAATAGCCAGACAAACTTTTTGCGTCGTTAGCAAACAGCTGCCAAACACACCCGAAATGAAATATGGACATCAAACTTCATACGAATATTAAAAAAGTTTGTACCAATCTAAGAAAAAAAAATATTGATTCGTTTTGCGCGTTGTTAAATTTTTTCTCTTTTTAAAACTTTTCTATAGCAAATTACTACAAGTGACAGACCCTAGCAAAAAATACCAGCACCCATTGCTACACGCACCAAGTAGATAAAATTAAACAAATATAATTTTATAAGAATTATGTATAACCAAATATGCGATATTTTAAATTTCATAGAAAATGAGCAAATCAAAAACAAAGCAGATCTTTGCTGCTAATTTTTTCACATTTTTAGCGGCCTAGCTTGTTATGTAGTTTACAACAACAGCTGCTGTCCACTGAACGCCGCATGACTTGAAGAGAATTGAATAAAAAAGATAACACGCTGTGGGCCATGTTGGATGCCACTAAATACTATATATATTCCCACTGACATACAAACACATATATAAATAAACTGATATGATGTAGTCACCGCTGTCTCTGGAAGAAACCGCAGGCATTTTTTTATATTAGAAAACACACACATACACACATATTTAAAATTGTAACACTCCATACATCACGTGCACACATACTTATGTAAATATTTAGTATGTAAATACAATCAACTTGTGTGTTAGCGGCCGAGAGCGTTTTTGATTGACTTTTATTAACACCGAAGCCACATTGGTGGCAACATTTGACTTTATAAACAACCTGCAAACTGGCACTGAGCCATGCAAATGTTGGCATTCAAAAACAGAAATGTATTTATTTGTGTTGTAGATAATGGTCACACCTGCAAGCATAGCTGTAACTGCCAAATTTGTGCGCAACATTGTGTGTGTGTGTAGGTACATATGTACGAGTATTCTATATATGTAGATATATTTGTATAGATACATATGTGTACATAATCACCCACAATTAAATCTAAATAAAATTTACAATGAAATCTGGCAAGCAAAAGTGTCTGAAATATTGTACAATTTACTGCACATTAAGTGTGTAGTAGTTACATTTATAACTAGTTTCGGGCTAGATCTAAAGTAACTAGTTTAGTGCAAAGCCTTTAATTATGCGTTTAATAAAGGTAGGTTATATATAAATTAAGTTGAATTGAAATCGGTTTTAGACTAGACCCAAAATAACTAATGGTAGGCCAGTTACAAAGTGAACAGTTTGCTCCAAAGTGACTACAACAAAATTCGCAAATTTAAATAAATAACAGAAATCAAAGGAAATTTTCTCTAAAAATATATTCAAAGCATGACGCATATAATAATACACCGTCCATTCCTTAGCTTACATAATAAATCGGTAAATTCTCATCTGAAAATCAGTAAGCACGCAAGGTTCGCAAAAATCACTAAGTAAACGTGTTTACATTTGCATAAGTAAATATTATATAAAATAAATAAATATATTAAGTTAAACAGTCAGCAAGTTAAGAAGGATTACATTCCGATCTACTTGATCACGTCACATCTTATCTCAAAAATTTATTTTCCGATTACATTCTTAATGGGCCTTAGCAACTCACATAAATCATTTCTCTTTCTACTTTTATTTATCAAAATTTTATCATAAACTCAAAAATGCTCTTTGCAACTGTATTAACAAACGATTCTTCCAGCATTCTTCTAAACATCCCAATGCTGTCTGAATGCAAGACAGAAGCATCTGAAATTACTTTACGACTTTTGTACGGATTGGTTGAAAAGTTTCTGCACTCGAAATGAAAAAATACTGATTTTGGTACGAAATAAATTTTTTTTATTCAATATAATCTCCCTTAACTTCCATACACTTTTTCCAAGGATCCTTCAGTAATGACTTTCCCGAAGCTCTGCAAAGTACCCGTCTACGACTGTAATAGCTTCTTCATTCGACGAAAAACGCTTTCCACGAAGGAATTGTTTCAGGTTTCTGAAGAGGTAGTAGTCGCTGGGAGCCAAATCTGGTGAATACGGTGGATGCTCAAGCAATTTGTGCTTTAATTCGTTGAATTTTGTCATTGTTAAAACACCTTTGTGAGCAGGTGCATTGTCTTGATTTAAAATGATTTTTTCCAAACAGCTTTTTCATTTATATTTCTCCGTGTAAAATATGAAGTACTCGTTCGTCTGAGATGCCCCTGGCATTAGCAGTTTCACGCTTAGTCAAACTTGGATCTTCACTAACAATATTATGAACTTGTTCAATGATTTCTGGTGTGTTTGCGGTTTTGAGTCGTCCTTTGCGTGGATCATCTTCAAGCTTAGTACGATCAGGCGAAAGTCCAACGGTGCATTTTAAAGGTGAGTACTCCTTATAATAATTGTTCATAATTTTCCTTTGCTTTTGAAACTTTCAAGACAAAGAATCTAATCACTGCGCGATATTCAATTTTTTGCATATTAAAAAAATTCTCTGACACGTCAACTTCAAATGATTTGTAAACAAAGAATTAGTGGAACAGAATGACTTGTAAATTTGCATGTGTTCTCAGGACAGATGTACCAACTTGAGAAAAAAAAATTTAGAGCTAGTAGTGATATTTCTTCGTGAGCACTACTCATTTTTCAACCAATCTGTATATGGTCTAATTATCTCTGGCTTGATATTGGTTAAACAAATTTTAAATTAGCCGTTTTAGCACTCCAGGCTTTTGGAGAATAAGAGAGAACTTTCGAGTAATACGCTTAGTATAAATGATACAATGCCATTTTCGAGACAAAGGCTAAATCAACCACATTCTCTCGATATTTTAGATGACAGAAAACACGAAAATCATCGTCCACAATAGACTATGAGTGCAATCCGCAAAAATTATTCAAAACTTAGTACAGGAATTATTATTTCGAGATTACTATTATTGTTATTGCTGATAAAATTTTTCTGGACTTTGCTGTGGTATCAGTCACTGAGAAGTTATTTTCGACAGTTTAATTGGCTCGGTCATAATCCTCCCCAGTGTTAAAGCATTGCTGATATTCTGTCCGAAAGAGTTGGAAGAAGTACATTTATAATATTCCAAACTTACTTTCCGACCATCGGCTTTAATAGCTTTTGTGATTAAAATTATGTTAGCTCCAAGAGCTGCGATTTTGAATGTCGCATATGACCTTCTATCAATCAATTTTTGATTTTTAATATCATATCCAAGGCCTCTTCGTGGTATCATGTAGTATTTTCTGCCACTGGTACACCGCTGGCGTTTTACGCTAGTCTATGCGCTCAATGATGAATCGTATGTGGAGAGCAATAAAATAAACCACATATTTACTCAAATAAGTTATAACACATACAATAGCTTATAAGTATAAAATATAATTTCATGCATGAAACATAGCAACTGGATACCATTTATCAAAAATTCGTGCCTCTCTTAGTTGGCAAAAAAAATAAAAAATTTTTTGCAATATTTTTATCATTGTATATAATATAATATTCCGCTCAGCGTTTGCCCCTTTTTTATTTCTTCTCCCCTAATCATAAAATCTCGTTTTTCATCACTTTTCCTTTTTTCCTACCCGCAGCTGTTTCTTATTTCCTTAATGTGTCCCTCTGTTTCGCTTTTGAAAACAGTCATTTCCGCTGCAGAGCTACACCACTTCCGGCTCAAATCGACTGACATGCTGAAAATCAGCAGCTGCAACGGCATTTCGTCCGGAATTAAGTGTGTTGCATGCACTCGGCTGGTACTTAAATGAAATTAGAACTTATTGACCTGTGTTGGTCCGAATGCCGGAAAGCTTCGGTAACCTCAACTGATGGTCGGCATGTGGAGATTATATTGCAAGGAATAGGATGTGTAGCACAAATCAACACTCATATATATGAATACATACTTGTACATACATACAGATCTGTAAATGCCATATTCAGCGCAAAAGCTTTCTATTCGCAAAGCTCTGCTAAAATTTAATGAGGTTTCACTTGGTGTAAAATATAGCATATTTTCTCTATTTGAAAATTATTTAGAAAAACAGCGGCTGGAAAGTTTTGCCTCGTCTGCCTTATAGCCCAGATCTTGCCTCTTCTGACTACCATCCATTCCGTTCGATGCAAAACGCCCTCGCTGCAATACTGTTCACATCAAAAGAGGTATCAAGGATTGACTTGATTCTTTCTTGGCCGCCATGCCGCGGCAGTTTTTTAGGGATGAAATTATAGATGGGATAGTATTATAGATGAGAAATACTTTCAGCACTACTATTGTATATCTTTTTATTAAAAAAACGTAGAAATTTTGAAAAACAAACCGCACGAATAATAATTATAATAAATCCAACAAAAAAACATTCCAATGAAAGCAATAAGAAATTTTTGCAGTTTAATTGTATAATGTAATATAATTATGAGAGTAGGTTCTCTTCCAAATTTTATTGACCCAAAAGATAATTTACGAAATATTTTTTGTGCTTTTATAATTAAGATTATTAAGAGCTGTACTTCTAAAGAATTCAAGTGTTGTAGAACCTTCTTAAACTAAATTCCCGACTAAAATGACGTCACAGGTCACATGATATAACCAAAGTTACGAATCAGTTAGCTGCCGATGTTTTTTCCCCACTTACACGTTTGCAGTTATAAACTTTAGCTAAATTAGAAAAACAAGATAATGCAAAATAATGCAAATTCATTTTTAAAGCACGTGCGCTACCGGCGTTGAAGGGCATTCACTGGGAAATTTATAGTTTAACTGAGTTGTTTTGTGAAATGAGACGAGAATTAAGCAAAAAAAAACCTTGAATGCCAAGATAAATATTTGCGCCTACTATGTAAGAGATAAAACAAGTAACCTGTAATGAAAGTGCACTACCATAACTGTAAAATTGCATAAGGAAGCAAGCGATAAAAAGCGCGCGGTTTGACATTTTGAAGGCAGTTGAATTGGACTTGGCGGACGTGTAATATACTCTGTGGGCTCATAACTTACCACCTGATTTTCTAAACACAAAACTAGTGAAATGTTAGTTAAAGACCGCAGTATGCCTGGCAAGTTATGGACGGTATTGTGCCTTATACAGTTAGTGTCGTTAGCTTTGGCCGACTTCCATGCGCTGCCGCCACCACGGAGAAATGCGGCGGCACGGGATCTCAATATCGTCATGGGTCAAGGTTTAGCTCAAAATAATCGCAAGGTGCCAATTGCCGAATTAGAGCCGCAATTCTGGCATGATCAAGCCAATAGTGAGCTAGAAAAGCGACTAAATGCACCATTAAATAAGAATCGTGCGAAAAATGTAATCTTCTTTCTTGGTGATGGCATGCCAATCTCAGCCATTACTGCGGCAAGAATATTGCATGGACAGCGTGTCGGCTTCTCGGGTGAAGAACAGTTATTGTCATTTGAGAAATTTCCCTACTCCGGTTTGAGCAGAGTGAGTTGGCAACGCTTTATCTGTGTTAAATTATTTCTTTTAGATTACAACTTTCTAATGGCAAATACATCAACTTTATAGACCTACTGTACCAATGGGCAAGTACCGGATTCAGCGTGTACATCGACCGCTTATTTGACCGGCGTGAAAACGAATTTGCTGCTGCTGGGCGTAAATGCAAAAGTCAACTATAACAATTGTTCGGCCAGCATGGATCCCAGCAATCATTTGACCTCGCTGTATGATTGGGCGCAGGCAGCAGGTAAAGCTTCAGGTTTTATCACCACCACCACACTAACGCACGCCAGTCCATCGGGTGGTTATGCGCATGTAGCCAATCGACAATGGCAAAGCGATGCCGATGTGTTATCATATGGCTATGATCCGGCCACCTGCACGGATATGGCACAGCAATTGATCGCAGAAGAGCCGGGCAGACGATTGGATGTGCTTATGGGTGGTGGTATGGGCAAATTTCTACCGAAGACGATAACGGATTCTTTCGGTAATCCCGGTGAACGTTTAGATGGTCGAAATTTACTAACACGCTGGCAGAATCTACATCCGAATGGTCTCATCGTAAAAAATCGTGATGAACTATTACGTGTAAATATTAGTCGAGTATCGAATATAATGGGTCTCTTCCATTCCCAAGTGATGAATTATAATTTGGAAGCGAACGACCAACAGCCGACACTAGCTGAAATGACCGGTGTCGCTTTGGCTTTCCTCAATCAAAAACCAAATGGCTATTTCATCTTCATCGAAGGTGGCCTTATAGACTATGGTAATCACGAGAATAAACCCGGTATAGCTTTGGATGAACTTTTGGAGTTCGATAAAGCCATACAGTTAGCACGTTCTATGACCGATCCAGCAGATACTTTAATCGTTGTGACAGCGGATCATGGTCATCCTTTATCTATATCCGGTTATCCTGAGCGTGGTAACAGTATTTTGGGTTTGAATAAAATGGGTACGGACTCACAAGGTGTGCCATATGCGACATTAAATTATGCAGTTGGACCACAACAATACCAGAACCCAGATGGTGGCAGAATAGATTTGACCGATAAAATGGGAAATCCAGGTAATAAAAATGTAGAGTTTAGGACTTAGTGAAAATTATTTTACATAATCTCAATTTCTTAAACACACTTATTTTCGAAATATGTTTTTCTGTTTAAGAATTCGTTGCGCCTAGCTACATTAACCTCACGATAGGCGTTCATTCCGGTGACGATGTGGCCGTATATGCTTCAGGTCCTTGGGAGCATCTTTTCTCAGGCGTTATGCAACAAAATCTACTACCGCATATGATGGCTTATGCCAGCTGTATTGGTGACGGACAGAAAATGTGCAGCTGAACATGTACTAAGCGATAGAGGGCTAACACTTATTTCTAGATATTAATGCACAGTGCTCTAGTTAATTAAAAAAATAAATATAATTTTTTTATAGCTTGACGGGTTAACATAATACATATATAGCTTATTTATGGATTAAAAAAAGTATGCCTCAAAAGAGTGTGATGACAACAATAAGTAAGGACTTAGACAATTATAGCTACTTGTTGCAAAATTATTAAAGTTTTCAGTGAAAAGAAAAAAAATATCAAAAATCCTACTTGTTATTTGTATTGTTGCAACTTTAATGTAAAAATGCTGAATATTGTATAAACAAATATAGGTGATTTTTTTCAGTTCCTACTTGCCAGCTTCGCAAGGTCAAGCGTAAATTTACAGAAGATTCCGCTATCTTCTGCAATAAATCAACACGAAGTGCTCAGTAAATATAAGTAAATATTTAAGTACTCAGATTAGTATTGTATGATTCTAAATATGGATAACATTATTCTACTACAGTGGCGCCTTAACTGACTAAGTAGTTTTGCCGAGTTCAGGTCATGTTTTTTTTTTTGTTTCATACCTTCTTATGCCCTGCGCTCACTAGCATCAAAGAATCCATTTTGACGCCTTTTAAATCTATCCAACTTAATATTTCAACATTTGCGATATTCAATGTATTCGTAAGTTTTTCTCAAAACCTTCGTCAAAAAACAACACTCACTCAACTCAACACAAGAACATTCACAATATGGCTTTGAAGGGCAGACTAGTCCAACGAGAGTATTTCTCTTATTTACTGGTTTCAATAAGAATTATCAATATTTCTTGATTGGTTATTGAAGGAGGTTACCGAAAACATTGATGTTCTTGGAACAAACAAATACTTATTTTTCTTGAAACCAATGAGTAATCAAACCTATTTTAAATGAAATAAGTTAATAAAGTGTATTCTATTTCGTACTGCCACAAATGTCTTCATTGAAGTTCGGCTCTATATTCCTGAGAAAAAACTCAAAATATATAATATTAGCAAAACCAATAACTCGTTTATTTACTTTTAGCGAGATCAACAACCCTTCCTGGTTGTAAGTCAATGATCTTTAGCGCGTTCAATAACCCTCATCAAAAGTTATTGATCACAGGTTTAATCTTAACGGTTTCTAATTAACCCATATGTCGATCTGAGTTAACCGATCTGAGTAAGCCATAAGTATATGTTGTTATATGCTTATTATTTGGAAAATACCGCTGTCGAGCTAAGGTTTTCTACGTACGTGGGTTTTCTACGTATCTGGGATCCGAATTTGACAATTTTTTAATGAAAATATACACTAATACAGGGTCATTAATCGTTCCTGAGGTTAATGGCTCTTTGGTTTACCTTAAACAAGGTCAACAATGTTCTATTAAGCACTGACCAATAACCCATCCCTGAAGTAAACTCGAGTAATTAGCCTGAAAATGTCTTTTATAAATAAAAATAATGTTTGTTAAAAAATATTAAAGCAAGTATGTATTTATTGTGTATTCCGAACCAGTAATTATCATATAATCTTGGCTTACATTATTCTCTCGATTAAATGCAATGAGAGCTGCGTTAGTTATGTATAATATTAAACATTAATCATTGAAATAATAGCATACTTTTAGGCAAGATACTTAAGCACATGAATGCCTCTAATTGTCTGACTTATTAGGCCTTGGTTCGCAAAAAACAACTGTTAAAGTAAAACTTTCAAACGAATTTAAATACTTAAAAATGGGTTTTTCATCTGTAAACATCTGCGTGTTTATATTAAGAACTTATCTGTTACTGATCTGTTTGCTCAATAAACTTAACAGCAATACTTCATGTTAAGCGCGAAAGCTTCATTCAAGCTTAGATTTGTTGTTGAGTGGAATGAAAAAAGTTACCAATTTGAAGCTGTTATTGTGAAAAATTAGGAAGAAATAAAATACAAATTTAAATAACTACATTTCTTACTGCTTTTGATGCCTAAACATAAATTACGAAATACATCGACAAATGGTTAGACCTTTAAACTTCGAGTAGAATTCGAATAGCTAATGTAGTTTAGAATAGCTTTTCTTTGGTAGATATATGTTCGAAGTTTTCTATTACCTGCTGAAGTCAAGATTTTAGACTAAATTCATTGCATACAGCCTTTTGTAGAATATATATTAATGCAACTCTTGTTATACCACGAACAGAGTATATTAAGTTTGCCACGAAGTTTAAAATACACCGAAGAAAACGTCGGATACCTAAAAAAATATATATGTATATATTATATCGATTTAGCATTTCCGTCTGTCTGTATATACGCGAATTAGTCCCTCAAGTTTTGAGATATCGATATGAAATTTCGCACACATCCTATTCTCCCTAAGAGATTGCTCATTTATCGGAATCGCCGATATCGGAACACTACAGCATTTAGCTGTCAAACAAACTGAACGATCGGAGTAAAAAGCTTGTATGGAAAACTTTTTTATTTGCGAAGATATCTTCACTAAATTTGGCATGGTTTATTGTCCAAGGTGAGGGTACAATCTGTAAAGAAATTGTTCAGATCGGACCATTAGCATATAGCTGCCATAAAAACAGAATGATCAAAATCAAGTTCTTGTAAGGAAACTTTTTATTTGTGAAGGGTATTATAGCTTTGGTGCACCAGAAGTTAACCGTGTTTTCTTGTTTTGTAATAAAATTTATCTTCTAACTGCCTATAAAAAATATAATTTGACCCATAGTACTTTTTCATCACCCCTAATAAAAGCAAATGTTCTCTACTAAGCAAAGTGAGCTTTTCTATTTGACAAGTTAGAAAAAGTTGAAAGCTCTCTCTCTCCCAACATGTACACACGGCTTAAGAGCGTAGCATCTTTATAAGTAGAATATTAACAGAGCTCACCGCTCATGTAACGGTTGAATACAGAATAAAATAGCCGCGTACAGCAATGAGAAACCGGCCATGAAGAGAGCTGAGCAGCAGTAGCAACATTAACAGTACCAATGGAGTAACTAGCAGCAGCAGCAGAAACAGCAATGACAGCAGAGGCGGAAGCAACAGTGGCAACCAGCAGGCGGCCACGAGACTAGGCGGCAATTGGTAAGCGTTCAGCGCAGACAGTCAGCAGCGATGCTTTCAATGAGGCAATAGCATAAATTTTATGAAGACTGTTGCATGAAGCAAGCAAAGCAAAGCGTTAATGTGAAAACGGGCAGTTAAAGAGAGTGAATGCAGCTGAAAAAAAAATTATAGAAGCAGTGGATACAGTGATAAATATAAAATAAAAACAAAAGTAAAAGTAAAAGGTTTGCCCATAAGTGTTATTGTAATACGAAAGGTGTTGTGCGGTAAATTAACTTTGCCGGTTGAAGGTTGTTGAGAAATTGTAAAAAAATTATATTAAGATACACAATAAAATAAATACTTATATTACTTATACATATGTATATGCATGCTTGTATATATAATTATAGTAAAAAATTAAAAATAAAAATTATTAAAAACAAAACAAAAAATGATTACAAAAAAAAATTCAAAAAATGTGCAAATAAAAATAATTTTAAAAACATTTTAAAAACGTTTTAATTGAAAAGAAATTAAAAAATCTTAAAAAAATTAAAAAAAAAAAGTTTATTAAAAATTAATTATTTAATTTTTATGAGCTAAAAACTAGTCAAATAAACAAGCTGTGCAATTGCATGCATATTACCGTTAAACAAAACAAACGCTATCAAGCCGAATCGCAGCGAAACACGTTCGACTACTTGTTGCGCCGTTAATTTTCACATGTACTTGTATATACATATTTACATACATAAAACTACAAATAACTATTGTACAGTGAGTGGCTACCTTCATTATGATGCACTAAAATGTGTATATATTGTACATAAATATGAGCAAATACATATATGGTATAAATACATACATATAGTCATAATTGCTTTATGGCGCAGTATTATCAACGCTAGATGTTAGCCAAAGCCGGCAACAACACCAATTGCATTTATCACTCATTAAACTAATAGCAGAGGGGCTGCTGCTGCCACTGTTGCGATAAGCGCGACCAACACCACACTTACAAACAAACGCACACACACAGATATACATATATACAAATATATTAATGTTATTATATACATATGTATATATATGTAGATATGCGAAAGGTACACAAATTGTTGGCAGACAAGACAGCGTGGCAAACAGAAAATAAAATGTAAATTAAAAAAATCATAGAAAATGCAAACAACTTGATGACTGTCTACAAAGATATATATTTATATATATAAATAACATATATTTTCACTTACAAAACGCTTGTGCCACCCCCTCTGCGCTACCTATCGGAGCGCGCTGTCGCTCAGTTGGGTTAAACATCCGCGAGGGCTAAGATAACCCTTTCAGAATTCCTTTGCTACTCAGCCAAAACAGTTGTGTTTTACATTTCCGCGCCAGCGCCAGTGCTTTTATCTGTGTTTATCTAACCGGTAAAATATTCCGTTATTCATCACTAGTCGTTCATTTAATACATATTTGTGTTTTCCCGATTAAATTGTGACTGTGTTTTGATTCTAGATGGGCTGAAAAGTCTTTGGCCTGCCTGAGAGATCGCACTAGAAACAGAAAAATGTCTATGCTTGTCTAAGAGTTCTAATATTAACTAGAATATTGCAAAAATTTCATGACATTTCGTCCAATCGCACACAAATTATTAATCTCAAAGTAACGCTACCTATGTTATTTTTTTTAAACGGATAAAAGTGAATTTTGTGTTTTAAACAAACGGTGCTCGCTGGTCGTAAGGAATACCGTTAATGCAAAATAATCACTTGATAAGTGTTACGGGAAATCTGCTCCAGCTTATTCCACATTCAGTTACTGATTTACATAGTAAAAGGTGATACCACTGGAAGGATTACGTTATGAACTAGTCCCACAGAATTTTCACGAATTTACACGTTAACCGGCGATATGAGCGGTAAAGGGTAGGGATTATGTTATGAACTAGTCCCACACCCCACGGTAATCGCAAGATTTGTCCTCCAAAAACTACTTTCACTTGCCCAGTCTCAAAAAGTGCCTCGCTGAAAAAACATATTCTTTTTCTCAAACGAGGAGGTCAAGACGGGTACAAACCTACCTACTTTGAAGTCCTCGAACTTTGTACTAACGAACGAAATTTTTGAGAATCTTTGCAACAAAGCCATTACTCCTGATAAAAATAATGTCGAAGAATTAAGCTGAATTTTCAATCA